TTTTTTTCTTCTGGATCCTTGTTTCAGTTTTTCCTTCAGGCCTCAGACACATCAGAGGAGTCCCTTCTTTTACTAATTAAAATCTGGCCTTATTTCTTAAATTACAGTTGAGGTGATAAATGTTTGTTGATACAGTGTGTGTTCTGTTTTATTAGGGACCGACTTCCCTGATTGAACACTGAGAAGAAGAAAAAAAAAAAGCTTTTAGAAGTAAAATGTGCCGTGCACTCAAAATGTCAGATTAGGTAAAGTTAGGATGCAGACAGTGACAGACTGACACAAGGAACTCAAAAAATATGTATTATTTAATGATTGTGAAGAAGAAAAAAAAAAACAGGGTGCCACATATATTGCCATCATTCTATGTTTATGTGCAATGATGAAATTTGTGCTCTGCATTTAATCCATCACATGTAAGTGTCTTGCTCAAAGACACCATGATATGTGGGCACGGTGGGGAGTTGAACCTGTGACTTTCTGGTCCCAAGTCGGCTGTTCTACCACTGCGCCTCAGCCGCTCTGCATTTGCTGTTGCCTCTCAGTGAGAAGGTTGCCAAATCAAATCCAAAGGTCTTTCTGGGTGGAGTTTGCATGTTCTCTCTGTGCATCCGTGGATTTCCTCCTGGTACTCCGGTTTCCTCCCACAGACTAAAAACATGCATGTTAGACTTACTGGTCTCTAAATTGTTCCTAAGTGTGAGTGAGAGAGTGAATGGTTTCTCTCTTTGTGGGACTTGCGACCTATTCAGGGTGCACCAGACCTCTCGCAGAGTGACTTCTGGAAATGGGCACCAGTGAACCCTTTGAAAGGAAGAAGCAGTTAATCCTGGCATAGACCAATGCAGACATGTTCCTGCTTTTAGTTTTCTACATTCGCCTTATAATCTAGCTGTTTTTGCTACTTTTTTTGGCCGTTTTATTTTAATTTGTAAAAAAAAAAAAAAAAAAAAATCTGTATCCCTCTTTTAACTGTCTATTGTTGTCGTTGTTGTCCGTTGTTGTCATCATTCTTTGTTGAAATCAGGTCTCTCTTGTAAATGAGTCCTCGAGGCTCAATGGGATTAACCTGTCTAAGTAAAGATTGAAGGAACATGATGGATGGATGACTGGATGGCTAATAATAGTAAAAAATAAACAAGGGAGGAAAAAAGGTTGTTTGGGAAGCAAAATACAAAACAGAAGGATCACAGAGAAAAATTAGACTGAGCACTACACCAAAACAACTGAGTGAAGAAGGACTGAGAGTTGATGAGGAAAGTGGTGCCAGCTGATGCTAATGATAACAGGAGAACAGTGTAAGTGGGAGGAGCAAGACTGAGGAGCAGAAACTACTGAGGAAAAGTACTAATAGTAAAAGAAACTGGGGAACAACTGAACACTAATGTCACAAAAAATTAATTTAATAAACCTTATAACAGAAAATAATAAACATAGATTAAATGAAGACTTGTGTGATCTTTGCTTGTTAACTTTTACACTTTATGCACCAGGAAACAAAAGGAAATGCTTTTGTTTTATTCCCCCATGTTGTTAGTCATTCTGTTTTAGGAACTTGAACGATGGCAGTGAGTGATGGAGAGTCTATCATAGTCACCAAGACCATCCTGTGCAGCTGCAAGACCACCGACTCATTCCACCCTGCCGTGGACTTAAAGGACTGATAGAAATAAAAGCTATAGGTACATTTCTGTAGTGCTAGAGAAGAAGTTCTCACTGTGACTCATATTTTGCGCAGCTGGAAAGACCTCGTTGCTACAGGATGCAACAATGCCTGGTATGCAAACTTCTGCTTCCTTGCAAAACTTAAACGACCTTAAATAAGTCTTTGGTGTAGTCTTTTTCTTTAATAAGTGTAGCTGAATCCTTCACATGA